TTTTTTTTTTAAAAAAAAAAATCTTACCTTACTTCAAAGTTAAATAAATTAGTAAATTAGATTTTTATTTTTAAAGGAATTGTTTTTTTCAAAAAAAAATCTTACCTTACTTACGTCTTTGGAGAAAATTATTCATAAAATTTGTATGATTTTTTTATCTTATTTAGATAGAAAATATTTATTAAAATAAAGTTTATCCCAAAAAATTTACCTAAAGAAGTTATTAAAAACTAAAAAAATAGGTCAATCCCTTTTTTCATTATTTTATATTTATTAACTACATAAATTAAACCCTATATAACATTAAATAAGCTTAAGAAATAGCTCCAAACCTATATTATATTTTATTAGCACTTTATTTTACTTTTAAATTTTTTAAAATTTCTTAAGAAAAACCCAAAAAAATCAATAATATGAAAATAATAAAACTACATCTAAGTTCATCACATATTAAATGAGATTCTTTTTTTTTATATAGGAATCTTGTATTATTATCTTCTATTACTTTTTACTTATTTGGAGAAAATTATCCATAAAACTTTTATTATTGCTTTTGGCTGATTTATATTAAAAACATCTATTAAAATAAAGGTTATTAAAAACTTTTATTGATGCCTATATTGTTTATAAGCTCTATTCACATAATATATAATTAAAATCAACTCTTTCAAATAAAAAAGACTCATCCTGGATATATTTTTTGTTCACATTTGACTGCTCGGTCTTCGTCTTGGCAAGTAATACTTTAGACCAGCACAGCACTCTTCTTTGGCTTGCCTACATAAATCTGCCATTCCATCCTGCTTAACCTCATATCTTCACAAATTTCTCTCACAGCTATTGAACACATTCTTTAGCATCGACAATAGTCATGGAGCTAACATTTCTATTGTTATCTCTAGCTCCACTTGTCCTACCACTTGTTATTAGCATCCTTGCTTTCAAGTACTCATCCCGTAGTGCCAAAAACCTGCCACCAGGGAGCCTGGGCTGGCCTATCTTTGGCGAAACACTCGAATTCTTGTTTGGTAAGCCTGAAGAGTTTGTGTTTCACAGGATGAAGAAGTACTCTTCCGATATCTTCAAGACCAAGATTCTTGGAGAGGAGACTGTGGTGATGTGCGGTCCTGATGGACACAAATATCTCTTCACCAACGAGCAGAAACTTTTCACTGTATTTCGAACCCATTCGATGCAGAAGCTCTTTCTTTCCGATCAAGCTTCTGCTCCGATTGAAATTACACGCGAAGCTGAGTCTAAAATCATAAGATCACCTGGGTTCTTGAAGCCTGAGGCATTGGTCAGGAACTTGGGGAAAATGGACTCCATTACACAGCAGAAAATGCATACTTATTGGGAAGGAAAAGATGAAGTCAAGGTCTTTCCTTTCGCGAAGACACTGACTCTGTCTCTTGCCTGTCGCTTTTTCTTGGGCTCCGATGATCCTGAACGTATAGCTAGGCTTGTCAGCAATTTTGATGATGTAACCCTAGGGATGCATTCCATTCCGTTGAATTTCCCTGGAACAGCTTTTTGCAGGGCTAACAAGGCTGCAGCTGCAATCCGCGAGGAGCTACGATTAGTCATCTGTGAGAAAAGAGCCAATATGGCCGAAGGAGCACAGGTGCAGGATGTACCATGCCATATGATCTTGGCCACGGACCCTTTAGGCAAACACATGGCGGAAACTGAGATTGCTGGCATGATGATGGGTTTACTAGTTGCAGGATATAGTACAGTGGCTACTGCAATGACATTCTTTATGAAATATGTTGGACAGAGGCCTGACATTTATGCGAAGATCCTAGCTGGTAAATAAATCATTCTCTTCCACGCTCTCCATTCCGATCGTTTGAGTACCTATACATGTGTGTGTGTGTGTGTGTGTTGTTTTAATGTTAATTGATCTCATCAATAGCCTGTCTTCTTGAAATCCAGAGCAAACAGAGATTGCAACAGCTAAAAAGGCAGGAGAGGTACTAGACTGGAATGACATTCAGAAGATGAAGTACTCATGGAATGTAGTCTATGAAGTGATGAGGCTCACACCTCCAATCCAGGGAACTTTCAGAGAGGCCATGACTGATGTTACTTATGCAGGATACACCATTCCAAAGGGATGGAAAGTATGCATAATGCAATCTTTCCTTTTCGTTTTTCTTTTTCACAAGTTTCAAAATTCTCTAGTCTCCAAAATAAAAGTTGCTTTTTAAACCATACTTTTGGTGACACTTGCTTTACACTTGTAGATATACTGGACAGTCAGCACAACAAACAAGAATCCAAAGTACTTCCCAGATCCTGAAAAGCTTGACCCATCTAGACACGAAGACGGAAAGGCCTTTCCTCCGTTCACGTTCGTGCCTTTCGGAGCTGGACCTAGAATGTGCCCTGGAAAAGAGTATGCTAGACTAGCAATTCTGACTTTCGTCCACAACGTCGTCAAGAGGTTTAAGTGGGAGGTCGTGTTTCCTGAAGAAAAGATCGTTGGTGATATGATGCCATGTCCTGAAAAGGGACTTCCAATTCGCCTTCAATCGCGCTGATGCCGAAAGGCTAGCTTGCTTGGATCTGGCTCGGGGTAATTAGGCTTTGGATTGTAGAATGAACCAGCTAGACTGGGCGAGATTTTATTTATCACCTTTCCTTGGTGATCATGTCATCTTGTCACTTGTAATTCATAACTAGAGCATTTCCTTCTTGATCCAATAAAGTAATTAATTTCTAATTTAATGGAAAATAGAGTTTTATATATACTAATTAGTAGTTAATGAGAATCTAGCAATATAGATACATGTTTTGGTTTTAAGGCTCATATATCAAATCTTAGAAAAAAAATATAAAAATTATTTTGTTAGTGTTTTCATAATGGTTGGAGGTATGTTCTTGATCTATTTATTTTTTTATATTATATTTAAATGATAATTGTTTTAGAAGTATATTTGGATCTATAAATCTAACTTTGGTATTAGAATCAGTAATAATATCATTGCCTTTGATAAAAAAACAATTCTTTATATCTATTTGTCTTGTGGTATATATATATATATAAAGAATTGTGTAAAAAGGTTGCTACAGTAGAATAGGTTAAAAAAAGAAGAGTGAATTGATTTACTACCTCCAATTTTGGTAGGTAGTCTCTCAACTTGTTTTCAACATAAAAAAAGAATATTTATATCGTAAAAAACTATTTAATTGTCATTAAATTTAATATAATAATTTAAATTTTAAGACTCTGATCCAATTCTTTACATAACCCTGATTTTAAATTAAATCAAAGAAAAAACAATTAAGATAATCAAAATCAACCCTGACCTAAATTTTAAATTCTATAAAAAATTAATCATTATTAACTCAATACTAAAAGATAAATTCAATAATAATCTTATATTAAAGAAAAAATTAAAAAAATAATCTAATAACCAATAAAAAAATCTCTAGGGGTGCTTGGGCAGAGAACTGTACCCAAAAACAAATATTTTATGAAATTTAGTTAAAAAATCATATAAAAACTGCTTTATAAAAACTATATTTTAAACTTAATATTTTAGTAGATCTTATAATATAAAATATAGTTTGGTATGTTATCAAATCTGTTTCAGAACCTTCAAGGCATGAATAACCTTCAAGGGAAATAGGCTCAAAGTTAATTGTCTATGGAAAGCTTGTGGTAGAGTATAACTGGAATGCAATCTTACAATTGAGATATATAGACAGTATTTGAGCATTTTAGCATGCGACTTATATCTCCAAATAAATCTGCCCACCAATACTTGAGGCCGTTGACACTATATTCTTTTGGTTCCTTGTTACTTGATATTGCATTAAGATGGTAAGATTGCTAAGATCCCTCGAAATGAAGAAATCAGTTCAATAGAGTATAGATAATAAGAACCTTCAGCCCCTAGCTCTATCAAGCCATTTACCACCGGTGCATTGCACCCTCCATCCCCGTGTTCAAGATTTGATCCTCTTTATGCACAAGATGGAATGGACAACAAGACTAAACCAATTTCACCAGCTGCACTATCAAACTATGGTTTCTCAATGTATTTAAATACCAAATAACATGTCAGCCATGGCATTGTTGGTGCAGATAATTCAATACATAGAATTTCCTTCAAATATTCTGCTGAAGAAATACTACCCTAACTGAATTTGTGGTCCTTATATGGCCTGGATCATGTACCATTCTGACTTGGGTTTCTATACTTCAGTGGCTGCTATAAATTGAACTAAGAATAAATGGCACCCCTAAATGGGCACCACTACACAATGTAGTATGGTATGCACCAACAAAGATGGGGTTAAACATTACATTATCATTGAACTCCACATTCCATTGGTACAATGAAGCTATTAATCACTTTGTATCCCACCATCTCTAACTATCCAAACACAAATAAAGAATCTAAAAGATCTGTACATATGGTTTCTATACCTCTACAAACTCATAGTTTTGTGACATAGCTAACAAATAAAGGCTTTCGTAAGCAAAGTACATTCTACTTGGTCAGAGAACATATGCCAGACATAACTATCCAGATCAAACATCAAGTTAGCAAAATCTGCAGACACTTGGGATAACAGAGACTAACACTGCATTGAACACACTTTAGGGTGAAAATCTAGAATGGTTCGTCACAATTTTCCATCTTCAAAAGAAAGAACAACAGCTCACTCATTCATAAAAAAAAAAAAGTAAGCAACTATTCACAAAATTTTGGAACTTCCATTTCCTAAAAACACAATAAGCTCAATGGTTCTGAATTCCTTCCAAGCTGAGTTCCTTCCAAACTGAGATCTTAAACCAAGACCTAAACTCCAGCAGCATGCCTAACTGAAAGGGTCATTAGTGAAAACCAGTTATAACTAGCTAGCTTCACCAGATATACAATGAAATATTACATGCTCAGTGCACCTAAATTTGACTTTCTAATCAAGCACACATCCGATTGATCAATGTACATCAGAATAGAAACACAAAAACTCTGACTAAGTTCATGTTCTCAACAATTCTGTTCTCGAAGAAACTATAAACTCAAATCCAGTTACCCAAATAGTAAAGTCTAAACAGATGTCAAAACTAAATAAACAGAATATTGAAAGTAACAGCTGCTGACAATAATACTAAATGAAAGAAATAGAAAAAGAAATATTCCTGTAAATAAATCCATTCCATTAATCTAATTAAATAAACACAAGCTTGCCAACTTCACATAAATCTCCAGGCCTAAGAGATTGAAAAGAAAGTAGACCTTCATTAATCCAGACATCAAAAGAAGGCATACCTAAATCTATTGCTGCTGATTCTGCTGCTGTTGGGAATTGGGAGGAGGTGGCATACCCGGACGAGGGGGTCCAAAAACAGGAACATGACCACCAGGTGGAGGTGGCATCCCAGGACGGGGTGGAGGTGGTGCAGGCATTCCAGGTCTTGGTGGAGCAGGTGGTCCTCTCATCATTGGTGCCTGTCCCTGGGGTGGCATTCCCATAGGTCTCTGGGCAAACTGTGGTGGCATTGGGAAACCCTGGGGGGGCCTAGCAGAAAATTGTAGTGGACCTGGTGGTGGTGGACCCCGACCCATTGGTGGACCCTGACCAGGATATGGTCCAGGAGGCATCTGGCCAGGTGGTCGGACCACAGGTGCACCACCAGGTGGTGGAGCACTTGCTGCAGGGTAAGTCATGGGTGGAGCAGAATGTTGTGGGACTGGGGGGCGCATGAATTGAGGCTGCATCATGCCAGGGGAAGGCCCACCCACACCACGAACAGGACCTGCAAGGCCAGGCTGGGCTTGAATAAGAGGAGCAGTGGGAATTCCGCGGCCAGCAGCACGACCAAGACCAGGACCAGAAGCAGCTGCGGCAGAGACAGCCTTGGCGCGAGACTCTTCAGGAGGAGGAGGGCCCTCAACAGTCATAGAGATGACCTCTTCACCACGAAGAAGAACAAGGCCAAGTGTGCGGCGGTCCTCACGCTCTTCATTGTTTTTCTTGCCCTTTGCTGGTGGGAGCTTGCGGAACTCCTCGCAATCACCAAGTACAAGGTTCATGTGGCGATCAAAGGCCATGAATTTCCCTACCAGCTGCCGACCATCTTGGATGGTCACACGCATCCGGTAGTTTATGTATTGGAGCATCTTAGAGCTCTTTGACATCGACATTTTTGCAAATCTGAGGTTTCTTAAGTAAGAATATCTTTATATTACAAAATGTTGCCTGCAGTAAATTCAACAAAATCAACAATTATGTCTTAACACAAATCCAAAAACAAGAGCTACCTACAAATACAACCATTAAATCAGGACTGCAACAAGAACAACAAGACAAGAACAGAGCAACAAAAGAAATCTTCTTTCAGTTCTGCATAGATTAAATAACTGGAACAATAGATCAACTGTTCTTAACTAAATTAAAAAAAAAAAAACAGAAAAACTACTTAACAATTCGACATGAGATTAACAGCTATATTTCATTTTTCTTCACAAACACTGAAATTTTCTCTTCACGAATTCAATTATTCTACTCTAGATTAAAAAATTCAAGCACCAAAAAAACCAAAACCTTGCTACAATTACGATTCCAATCCACCCATTATCACAAAACCGAAAAATCCATTAAATAAAACAAAAAATAAACCAAAAAAATCCAAATTTTCAACAAAACCAAATCTGGGTTTCAATCATTACTCACCCATTTCATAAAACATCAATAACCCATCTCGTAAAACATAAAACACGGCAACAAAACCACAAGGATTAAGCTGAGAAATGAACAGACAATACAGTTACAAGAATCAAAACGTTTGCCAAAAAAACGCCAGAAAAAAAATCCAAAAAAGAAACGACACAAACCTGTAAATACTGGCTCTTATCAAGAACCCTCTTTCAACCTGTAAACTTCGTTTTCTAGGGTTTGATTTCTGGTTACTGAGAAATGGAATCTGTAAAAATTAGGGTTTATGTGGTTTTTGTTTTTGGAGTGAGGAAGGAGGGAGCGAGGGTTTTATAAGGACACGCCACTAGGGGAAAAGGGGTCCAAGTAGAAATCAAATAATCTGGTGTAGTGCAAGTAGTTTGTTGAGAATTTTCAGCCGCTGATCTTGGTCAAATAATATTTGGTCCGTTGATGATGATGACTATTAATTTTTAGTACTGTGTGTAAATTTATAAACCGACCTGTTTTTTTTTTTCCCTGTAATCATAGTATGGATTTTTTTTTATTTCTATAAAAAAAACTGAAGAGGAGATTTTATATAAATATATAAAATTAGATATGGCATGTGAATGGTTTACTTGAAATGTAATTGAAAAAAACATATAGTATAATTTGTTGTAATAATTATCACGATGCTCTATATACATGATATATGGATTTACGAATGATAATAATAATTTTTATAATAATATGTTGATTGATGCAATGAAAATGAATCTTAGTTATTTAGATGAATATTAACATGACATCCCTTTAGATAAAGAATTAAATATAGATGTAACTAGGTTTTTTGAGTTTTTAAAATATTTTGATAAATAATTATGGGATTATACAGAATTCATAATAAATTTTTGGTCATTGTAGGAGTATTTATTATAATTAAGTGAGGCTAGTTATTTATTTTGTTAAAACAACAACCTAAGCTTGAGCCTACTTTGATGAAGTTATATAAAAAAAATGAATAAAGGAAAAGAGAATAAAAAGTTTATAGATAACAAAGCTGATGCATTTGTTGTAATTTTTTTTAATTCCCGTAACTTTTATAATTCTTTTAATTATAATTAACATTTTTTAAAATTTTGTATGAATATAACTTTGTAATGTTTGCAAAACATGGATAAGATGCTTTTATTATCTATCCTCGTCACGATCCTATAGTTGGAGTTGGAATCTGGAGCAACCGATGGACCTGATAGAAATCGGGTTTATGAAATGCTTATAGCATCGATTAGAGAAATAAAGTCAGGTCGTATTGATTTCTATCGGGTTTATGAAATGCTTATAGCATCGGTTAAAGAAATAAAGTCAGGTTGTATTGCTTCAACTCTATGCATACAAGAGGCTAGCACTAGCCAATCAATGCCAGAATCCTAATTGAGGATCCTAGAACAGGTCGAGGAGAGGGTAGCCAGATTAAAAGAGAAAAAGAAAGCTATATTAAAAAAAGAAAATAGGTAGAAAGCAAGAGACCCTTTTGAGACCAAATAAAAAGCCACCCATCATGTAATGGCCCAAACCTATCCTTAGAGTATGAACTCCCTAATATGCATGTATATATATTTGCATCATACACATACATTCATTCATTATAAATAACACACATACATGCATCAGGTTGAAATATAGGTCCCTAAAGAGTCTACAACACCAGACTTCGAGTGAGAAACATGGAAGATGAAAAGCGTGCTCGCCGTGACACCCATTTTCAAGAAGAGTTAAAGTCCCTAAAGACAAGTGTGGCTCGCCTCACTAACTTACTTGAGCAAACACTAAGAAATGCCTATGGTGAAGGTCTTTCTAACCGACTAGCTACATCAGATAGCTCAACCCAAAGAAAGAATGAGTGAACATGGTCAAGAACCTCAATATAATCTAGTATTTGTGCAGTCAGCAACACCTGCACCAGCCCCTGCAGTCATGGATGTATTTGCTAACGAGGCCCATAAGGCCAAGTCATCTAATAACATTAATCAATATAAGATGGAGGCGCTGAAAGCCAGAATTAGAGTAATTGAGGGGGTAGATATGATCCAGTACAGGCAATAGAGATGTGTCTAGTCCCAAATGTGGTTGTCCCAAAAACGTTTTGTGTTCCTCAGTTCATCAAATATAATGAAACACAATGCCCTATGACTCATCTTAAATCCTATTACAATAAAATGGTAGAAGTAGTATATGATGAAAAACTATTAATGCATTTTTTTCAAGATAGCTTAAGGGGGGTAACATTGAGTTGGTACATGAGATTAGATAACACAAAGATTCAGAGATGGAAAGACCTAGTAGATGCTTTTATCAAGCAGTACAAGTACAACATGGACATTGCTCCCGACGGAACCGGTTTGTTCAATTTAGAGAAAAGGGACAAAGAAAACATAAGGGAATATACTCAAAGATGAAGAGAATTAGCTACTAAAGCTCATCCTCCACTTTTGGACATTATTTGCCAACACTCTCAAAGCAATATATTATGAACATATGATATGGGTAGTTCGACCCAACAATTCACTAACATTGTGGTAGTATTTGAACGTATAAAGCAAGGCATTAAGAGTGGTAGAATTTATGCACCCATAGAGAAAAGAGGCTTCAAAAGGAAAGAGGTCAACCATATTGGAGATGACTATAGGGGTAGGAAAATCTCATCCCAAAACTACTATACTCCATCTCAAGTTACCGACATAAAAAAACCTGAGCCTCAATTTTAAATTAATCAAGGTATAGAACCTGAGCCCCAAAACTTTTAAGCCAAAAGCCAAATTGGAAATTAGCAAAGGGTCCAAGAACAATTACCTTCATTACCGCTACCTTTGAATGAGATATACCAGAAGCTATTAAGCATCGGGCAAGTAGCTCCTGCACCTCTGACACTTGTGTAGCCACCTTATCCTAGCTAAAATGATGATATAAAACCATGATAAAAATGCACTTTTAAGTACTAATCACTAGTGTTGCTAGATATAGCATCCATACTTACAACGCCTTCAAGAGAAAGCTTTTTCAATTAATCAAGGTAGGGTGGATAACACTTGAAGACACTCCTGATTAATAAAGGCATGGTGTGAAAAAGGTAGCCTCAATTTTAAAGGACTCAAATTTTAACCACAATTTTTGTTCTCGTCGTCAATGAGACATCTACAAGAGCTGCTGTGGGAAGGCTAGCCTAAGAGGAGATTTATGAAAATGGAAGGTGAAGCTTGCCCTATTATTATCTTTTGTTTGATCATTTTTGCTTCAACCTATTTAATTCTTGTTGGTAATTTTGGCTCATAATGCTACAAGATTTTCTCTATCAAATGAGTCTTTCTTGTTAATAAGATCATCTGTTTTCTTGTGTTCAGGACATGCCTTTGTTTTTCTTGTTGTTTCATGCAAATAACACACTGAGTATAATTTTTACTCATGAAACCATTGGTGTTTTCCCTTCTCTTTCTATAACAATGCATGATCTCACATGTTCACAAGGATTTTGGGGGATTCAAAGTTTAGTACAAAACAGAAATCATATTGGTGTTTGTTTAAACAAGCAAGTTCTGGAAATTCAAGTGATTCCTTAGAAAGGTAACCATACACCTAGAAAACCTAAAAAAAAACACACACCATGAAGTGACTCTAAAGCTGAGTTTTATTTGAATAAATAATAAGAAATCACTTTGCATACTCGCACGAAAGCAAGACTGATCAATCTTAAATGCATGAGTTTGGAATGAAGGAAGGCCATCTTTGATAATCTTTTCACGAAACTAAAATATATCATTTGTAGTTCCTTTTTGAGCCTAGTAGTTTTTTTTTTAAATAACCTTGGCTAGGATAATCTTTGATAATCTTTTCACACCCTAAATTGGGAGCAAGTGCCAGAGATAGAAAAAATTTCAATGATTAAAAGTGTCCAAGCAACATTGAGAGGCATAAAAGAAAAATTTTAATGATCAAAGGCACCCAAACAAAACTAGGAGGCATGAAGAAAAATCTAAAGGATCCAAAGGATCCGAGCTTAAAAAAAAAACTAATATGATGTTACTCGACCAAGTGAGGAATGAGGAGACAGAGCCCAAGCCCAATAATGAGGGGCACAATAGACCATTTAAAAAATAAATTCAAATGATAAAAGGTCAAGAAACAATCATAAGTGATCCTTAGTCTTGAAATCCCTTAAACACCTTTTGAGCTTGCAAATATCCTATTCTTCATAACTAATAGCCCAAGCCTATATTAAGTGCCTAATCAAGCCCTTTTTGATTAAAGGCAAACAATCTGGATCGATGGACAGTGTTTTCTCATGCAAACCAAGTCATTATTCATGCAAATAAAATGAATGCTTTGAACACTGGTTCTTTGAAACCCTCAAATTAAATCTGAAACCTTTTTAACCAACCAAATGTCACTTTATATTTTTCACCAAAATCAAAAACAAAAATTTTTCATCACTTTTAAAAACCTTTCCATAGAAATCACTTGAATTTCTTTAGAATAAGTTTGCTTTGAATCGAAGTCAAAATGATTTTTGCGTTTGGAATAGCTTTGAAATTCCAAAATTTCTGCATGAAAACAACTCTTTGTCAGACCTTCCTTCACCTAGCCTCATCCTTAAACTTGAATTGAATATTTGGAGGCATGATCAATTTGGGGGCAATCCAAAAACTTATAGTAGGACTAGCTCCATGATTCCTTTTCTAGGAAAAATATCGAGCAAAAATTGGCAACCCTTGAGATAAAAGGTGGAGGATAAAGAAGTATGATGATATCAAGCCCTTTATAGAGGTTAAGATCACAAGAGATGACTCAAGTAAGCAAGAGAGAAAAAGGTATCAAAGTTTACTATCAACACTCCAACTTTTGAGAAAAGAAAGACACTATGAAAAAATAGGGACCTATATTTCTTCGGTAGGTATACATGCATATCAATTATAATGCATTGTTTTCAACATTTTAACAAATTGTTAATCATTCATCAAACTTTTTAGGTAGTGCGTCTTCTAACCTTACCTTATTTCAGGTGCGCCTTTGTGCCCTCACCTCCTTTCATGTGTACTTTTGAGCCACCATCTCTTGGGTAGTGCGTTTTCTAGCCCTATCTCTTTTCGAGAGGGCCTTTGAGCCCTCACCAATATTGTTTTTAGGTAGGTCACCCATTACAATGTGACAAATTCTCCATGTTTTTTTTTTAATATCTGGGTAGGTCACCTATGACAATAAGGTCATTCTTCCACTTGTGTAGGTCACCCATTACAATGAGACCACTCTTTTCTTTTTTCTTAGGTAGGTCACCCATT